CCCCCAACGCTGCACCATTGATTGCATGATTGCACCAATCCCCCACTAGTGATGACGTACCACTTTAATGTATCGCTGGTTGGTGGCCGTGTTTGCGTGTTTGCTTGTCGTTAGTGGTCTCTCCACCGTGTGCCTTTTTTCTGTCTTTTATTTGTTGTCATTTTCGGCCTGGTCCCTTTTTGTCTTCGCTCTTTTTATTGCGTTTCCTTTTTCCTCGCTGTTTCCTTTTTTTTTTCTTCTTCTCTTTTTCTCTGTTTCTCTCTTTTTCTGTGCCAGATGGTCTTGTCTCTGCTTGCGTTGTGAAGTACCAAGATTGAACCAAGGGGGTGTACCTCATTCTCTGCGGCCCATGATGGTGACTTCTAGTCTCAGTTGTTACCTCGCATAGCGCGCAGAGGGAGTGGAGGACTCCAGAATATCTGTCGTTGATTTCTATTGACTTACGGACCCCTCGGGGCCATTTTATTTGAGGGTACCTTTTTAGGGTAAGTTAGCCTGGGACAACGGGAATCGACCGCGTCGACTGTTGGATCAGTACGGACATACGAAGGTACTGGGTAGAGAGAGATCGGAACGGTTTTTAATGTGAAGACAACAACAACAACAACTACATGACGCTTTTCTCGAACGGTCGGTGCGGTACCTGATACTGTCTTTTTATCATTTTGTTTTCTTTTTCCGAGTGCTTTGTACCCTATTTTTGTTTTGTTTCTCCGCGGCGTCGTGTGTGCCGGGTATTGAGACCACAGGCTCCCCATCTTTTGTGGACTAGACTCTCCCTTCTTCCCCTCGCTCCTCGACAAGCTTTTGCTTAGACATGGGTTGTAGTGGAGGGGGGGGTCTTTCTGGCGAGCAGGGCTAGACTCACCCTCAAGGGATGACCGAAACCTTCTTGCTGCTGCGCATATCCGCCGCGAGGCATGCGCGTGGTGGTGTAGTTGGGTCGGCACTGATGGGGTCAGGCGAAAAAATGTAGATGCGCGGGCCTCTGGCCGTCGGCGTAGGCAGCGATGCCCATCTCATTTTTTGTGCGCGGAGGCAGACACCGTCAGAAGNCTCTTATACACATCTAGATGTGTATAAGAGACAGCCTTTTTCTTGCTACGTGTGCGTGTTCTTTAGATCCTCAGATGGCTCTAGCACTTTCGTGACCACGGGCCGAGAGTCTTTGCTAGATTTTGGCATTTAGCAATCGGCATACGGTTTAATGTGAAGTCAACAACAACAACAACAACAGACTATATCACACGTGTTGGCGCCTATAGGAAACCAAAAAAAAAGTACACACGAAAAATAACGCCGCGGGTTCCAGCGGGGAACGCATAAAATATCCCCCCGCGTTGGCGCCCCGAGGGCCACCACTGCTACCACCGTTTCACCAGCGCAGTGCTCCACACCAACACCTCGGATCGGCACGAAACGCGGCGGAAACTTCGATCAAGTTGTATAATACACCGGTGAGAGGTTCAATGGCATTTTAATGCAGAAAAGGTAGAGAAAGACGGGGGTGTATGACTTGAGGGCAAAAGTGGAAACTTTCGCGCTACGGTGACACCGGGTTTGCCAGGCAACTTTCAGCCAATTGGGTTACCATCAAAACATGCTCTGCAGCAGCAATTGAAGTGGCAGTTAACCGGGTCCATAGATGAAGATTGAATAAAAGATGTGCACGATTTGGGATCAGCACTGCAGCGCGTGAAATCGGTGTAGCAGATGTGCCTCCAAAAACGCGGCGGAACTTGCCAGAACGCGGGTTGCGTTGCACCGCTGCTAGCCGGTACAGCAGGTTAAGAGGCCCCCGTGCCTCTCTTGCACTGCTTGTTTAGCCATGAAAGTAACAGGATGCTGTATGTGTGCCCTTGGTTCACTTTCCCTCACATGAAGCTCCCAAATAAACACGTGAAGTGTTGCTGCCGTCTCTTTTGTCGGACAGGGTGATGTCGGAGGAATGCTGCAGCGCATGCCGGCAACCGACGGCAAGAGTTGACGTTCGCTGCACGAGAGAAAGGACCGGGGGTAATGTCCGGGCATTCGTGGAGGCAGCGGNTGTGCCCTTGGTTCACTTTCCCTCACATGAAGCTCCCAAATAAACACGTGAAGTGTTGCTGCCGTCTCTTTTGTCGGACAGGGTGATGTCGGAGGAATGCTGCAGCGCATGCCGGCAACCGACGGCAAGAGTTGACGTTCGCTGCACGAGAGAAAGGACCGGGGGTAATGTCCGGGCATTCGTGGAGGCAGCGGGCGTGGCAGACAAGTTCCCCGCCTTGAAGTGCGGCGATCCAGACATAGACAAGCTCGTCCGATGTAAACATGGGGGTTGCCTATTGGAGTTGTTCGTCCTGAACCAGCAAAAGGAGAGCAGGGCGCCTAACAAACACCGAGCAATGCGAGGGCCAAAGTGGACGTGCGCTCCTGAAGCTGTCTAGCAGCTAAAACGCCGTTGTTTTGATCGCCACTGCACCTCGCCCGCGGCGTTGGAGGCTTTGCTGGGTGTTGTTAGCATCAGCGGGTTTGTGCTGGACATGTGCGGGGGAGCGGGTGGTGCTGTCGTGACCCGCCTTCGAGACACGTGCCAAGTACTCACGATGTACGACCGAGGTAAGGGGATGCTGCGCGTTTTTTTTGTGTGCTTGGGGTGAGGTATGCGAACAAGATAGCCACCCGTCCTGCCATCCATAGCGCTGGGTGTCCTAGCGTAACATACCCTTAATCTACCCAGCACGAAATGACGTAACTCGTAGGCGCATCATGAACGCTGTTTGTTTGCTTGTTGGTGTGGTCCGTCGCAAGGATGCTAGCTACAGGCATGTACATCCGGCTAGGCGAATAACAGTCAATCTGTTTTCAATGCTGCTGAGTTACATACGACGGACCTAGTTGTGCAATCTGCTCTAAACTTTACGTCCCTTCTTTCGTAGGTCCCGTCGTAGGTAGGCTCGCACCAGGGGACGCTCATTGTTTGTCCTGCCCTTTTTTATCGTCGAAGTTTGGCTGTGTAAACGAGATGCATTGTTGTTTGAATCCTCCATAGTTTCAACAGGCCGCAAACCGAGTGTACTCACGGCACAGATGTTGCTTTCGGTACACGCACATGGAGCAACTCAAGCTTGACTGTATCCGATTTTTGCCGAAACATGTCGGGGAAATTCGTAGTCTGCAAGTGACCGACAGTGACGGAGGCATTTATTTTTTTTCTTTGGTATGTCTTTGGTGTTGTTGTAACCTTCCAGAGCAAAACCTTTTTCCTAAAACAAAAACGTGGCAGTTGTGGATGACAGGTGTAGAAGTGCTGTAACCATTGTTGTTGCACATACAAAAGTAGGACCAAGATACGATCCGAACGGAGGATCTTACTGATGGTTGATCAGCAAGAGACCCGACTGTGGATGCGTTCCTCTTGGCGCCACCTGTGGAGCTTGGGAATCCGAGACCCTCGGGCTTGGTCTCCCTCGCCCCTTCGGCGGCACTCTCTTTCTTGTCTCTCTCTTCTGAGACCCTCTCCTCTCTAAATCTCGACGAAGAGAACTGCCAGCCCTTAGTAGTGGGAAAAGACTACTGCGACCTGAGCCTCCCCCCCTAACGAGGGAAGCCTGTGTCCTCATTGGCGTCGACGAATTAAAAGATACTCTGCTGGTACTGGAGGTAGAGGTGAGAGATGCCGAAAAAATCAGCCGTGCAACGCGCTCGCGATAAGGCGGACGCGGCGGAGGAAAAGAGGCTCAAGGAGCAGCAACGCCGCCTTGAGCTGGAAGCTGAGCTAGAGCAGCTCAAGCAACGCCTCGCCGCCAAACACCCGACAACCCCGCTAGCACGTGGGACACCCTCGGAACGCGTGCCGGCTTCACGCCCCTCGGGTGATAGCAGCCTTCTTGAGGAAAAGTCGGATGACCCTGAGGGTGCCGACCGCGCGAGTGCCACCAGCGGCGGTGAAGATGGCGGTGATTCCGGTCAGCGCGACACGTTTGTCGACGGCGAGAGTGGAGACGAGTATGAGGATGTTCCTCCTGCCGCCGGCCGGGAGCAGCAGGGGCGTTGGGCCGATGAGGAGGAACCCGAAGATGAGGAGCCCGAGGTTCTTACATCTCCGGCTGGCGCACCCATTGTGGAGATGCTGAAACAGCACCACCGTGATGGGACCGAACCTCCCGAATGGCTCATGTCCATTGTACTGCCCGCCAACTCGCGAAAGGTGAATACTGTAGGTGGTAGCATGCCTGCTGTCCGACACGAACCCAACGTTGGTAGCGAGGGTAGTGCCCGCCCGAACCTCCGGCGTGACAACAGCATACCATCTAATTTTGCTTCACAGCAGTCACCTATCCCGTCTCAGCAATTAGTAAACGATTTTTCTCCGCAATCCGTAGAGACCCCACGAGAAATCGACAACACCAGCAGGACTAGCGACCCTCTAGTGATGTCGAATGCCTCACCTACACACTCTACTGTGCGCGCTGATGAACACCCGTCAGCGCACACTACGGGTACGTCTGCTCGTTTCGTCTTAAAACCCGCAGACCTACCCAAAGATCTTGTTTTCTCAGGGGCACCTGGGCAAGATATTGTAGAACTTTTGGCGCAATACCGTGCACGTGTGAAACTGAACTCAGTCGACAACTGCCCTGACCATGTAGTCGACCAACGTGCTGTGCGATACCTCCCGCTTCTTCTGCGAGGGGCTGCGTACGATACCCTGTTGCAGTTGACCCAGGGAACGCTCGAGTGGCGTAACGCAGAACAGTTAGCTGAGCTTCGTGCAAAGGGTGCAAGTACTCGGCCGGTGGCTCCTTCCTCCTGGGCCGAATACTGTCACGCCCTTTACTTTCAGTTCTCCGCTCCCAACCGCATTTCCATTTTGGCCCGACAATTTGCCACTTTGGAACAGGCAGTAGATCAGTCCGTGGATACCTATGCATTGAGAGTCACACAAGCACGCGCGCGCCTTATTGCGGAAGCTACTCGATCCGCCCCGCCGAATATCAGCCCACACGAACACGCATGGGATGTATTTACCACTGCAACGTTTGAGAACGGCTTAATCCCAAAAATCAGAGTGGAGGCTGTTCGAGAAGACGCAACTATGAGTTTCCAAGAAGCTCGTTACCGTGCAAAGAAGCACGAGGCAAACAATCTAAAAGGCATTTCTCCCACAACCCTCGATATTGCACACGCTTCGGCTGTCTCACATGACCGGCCACAGCTGCGGTCCACGGTGGAGGCTCACACCTCCGAACTCCGGGAGTTGGCTGCTGAGGTCAAGCACCTCAAGTCGCGTGATGCCGCCACAAGCAGCCACCCCCGGGGACCGTCGCGGCGCGCTAGCAGTAAGACAACGCAACCAAAGCGCACCTCGGGGTCCACGCAGACGGACAAACCGAGAACTAAGCAAAAAAGGCACTGCGACTACCCCGGGTGTCCCAACCCCGACACACACGACACTGACTACTGTCACCTTCGCCAAAAGGAGAGGAAAGGTGGATGGGAGCGCCGACCTTTGACGGGATGATGGGGCCCTTCAAGGGACCCCTCGCCCGAAGGGAGCAGGACCACCGATGCAACAGTAGTTGAGAGGAGTGAGGTAGCGCGAGATGCCGTACTTTGCTCAACTAATGTTGCCATGAAGGGTGGAAAAACGAGGGATTGCATTTTGCATCGGGCACGAGAAGTGGATAGAACTTCAGGCCGAGTTTTTGATAGGAATAATTCTGTTACACGTAAGGAGGTTGTGGAATCGGTTGGTTCTCCTCTGGTAGCAGAAACACCTAGCAAGGCACGAAGCAAGGGACTATTTTTCAGTAGTGCAGGGCAACGTCGAAGAGGAAAAAAAATTGTATCAGACCCTTAGCAGTAGCCCCGCAAGTACGACATGTTCCGCCTGGAGAGCCTTTGAATAAAGAAATTAAACCCTATGGGTTTTCGCGTGCGTTGCGTCGTGGTTCACGATTTGCAGCTTTTCACGCATCTGCGTTGAGTAAATATCCGAAATTTCCAACTGCATTGGATTCCACATCGAAACGGGTACATATTCCCGCTCGAGTGAACAACCACCCTGTGTCTGAAATCACAATCGACACAGCCGCTGATGTACCTTGTGTTTCAGCGAAATTTTTGCAGGAGCACCCCACACTAAAAAATAAAACGCTTTGTCCAGTTCCACCTGGAGCGATACAATTAAAAAGTGCTGACGGGTCACCTCTTGAAATTTTGGGATACCTACGGTTCAATCTCACACTAGGCGATATCACGTTGCCAGTAGAAGCATTGGTTTTACCGAACCTGGGTCCTGATAACATGTTGCTAGATAACAGCATCATGAATGCCTTTGGCGCCATTTTAGACTGGTGTGGTGAAGAATTATCTTTCAAGAATTCTGTGCTGAAAATACCTGCAACCCACCGTCGAACACGGGATCTAACACATCCACATGACAGTGCATCAGCACAAGTTTCCGTTGTGGCACTGGACCCGTCCGAAGGAGCCGTGCCAGTATATCTTTGTAGGAAGTACTGCGTTCCTCCGAAACATGAAATGGCGGTTGATGTCGTGACTAGCCACGCCCCAAAGGAGACTACTCCTGC